GCAGGGAGTGCCACCGAAGGCCCCGGCGACAGGCCCGCATGGCGTACCCACCCGACTCGGCACAACCTCTCACACGCTTCGTGGCCCCAAGGGAGCTCCACAGAAATCCCAGCGGCAGGGTCCGCACGGCGCGCCTGCCTCCGATTCGGCAAACCTCTCATACGTTTCGTGGCGTCAGGCGGGCAGGAACGCAACGCACGACGGAAACCAAGGGGGGGCCAAGAAGAATTGGGGAGGAAATGGGAACGACAACATTTGCGCTCGGGGTTCGGGCCAAGCGAAACACCCCCCCGCGAGCTCGTACCCGCGGTTCCTTCTTCTATTAACGTCGCAGTCCTTGTGCTGCCCCCTCATTCATTTCGCCTGCCTCGCGATGCTCACATCTGCATATGGTTGGGTCCTTCGCTGAAAATAATGTTACCGAATCATGCAATGGTCAGTGTATGTTCGGCAGACTCGATCCGTACGAAACCTAAGGTGTTTGAAGGTTTCCGGCATGCGCGTGCGACGACGCGCGCGTGTGCAGTTCGTCCAATATGTTGCGAGGGATTATTACAAGCTGATGATTCGTGATCAACGAGTGTGCGCGCATAGTAGTATTTGACGAGGGTGGTGGGGAAGATAGTGGTTTGGCTGGGTGGTACGAATTCGTATCTGGAGTGAACGATTTGGCAGAATCATGTGTGAACTGCACATCTCCAGGGGGACCGATAACCCCAGCCTCGGGGGCGGTGGTAGATCTTACACTCCTGTGTAGGAAGGGGAACTGTGGGCTCTCCGTCACCGCGAAGATGTAGCCTGGCTCGGACTCGGTGATCGTCGCCTGATGCACGATGGATGCGGTCCTTCCTGGTGCCTCCTCTCCCTGGGGTCCAGGTGCCCCGACCTGGCTGGTTGGGGGCCCTACGGTTGATGCCACCGCACCGCTGGGCGAAGAGCCCACCAGCGACCGAGCATCCACTTGCGCTGAGGGCTGGTTGACCGAGACGCATTGGCCGGTTCGTTCCCCACCTTTGCTTTTGGGGTACCCACGACCACGTCCGTTGGGTGTTGTCTTGCAGTCCGCCTGGGCTGGACGCCAGCAGTCCCTTGCGTAGTGGCCCCCATGTCCGCGGTTGAAAGCACTCGGGTCTGGCGTCCGTCTGGGTCTGATTCGAATTCCTCTCCTCCTGTCTTCCCGTCTTTGCCTCCATCGCCCTTGCCCCCTTTGCAATCGTGGCCCTTACCACCGTGGTCCCTGCCTCTGCCCAGGCCGTGCTCCAATAAGTGCGTCGACCTCCATGGCATTGGGGTCCTTTGGAGGTCTGGGTGGTGGGGGTGGGTGCCTCCTAGTACCCGTCATCGTAGATCGTCGCCGCCTGCAGGAACTGGGTGGTGGTCGCTACGTGCTGGTCGTAGGTCCGTTCGCTTGCCATCTGGAGCATCGTCTTGATGTTTTTGGGCGCCTTCTGGAGGTAGATGCTATTCTTCATGCCCACGTTGAACACTTCGTCTGATGCCCTCTCATACCGCGTGATGTCGCGTTCCCACTCCGCGTGAGCCTCCTCGGACTCCGCTATGGTATGCGTGAACTGCTTGGCGTTCAAGATGTTCGTCACGATACTCTGGGCCCGAACCGCCATAGCTGAGTCGTACCTTTTGTACAGCGCCCTCCAAGCTGCTGCACCATTATGTTGATCAGCTTCTCGTATCATCATCTGAGCGCCGCCCTTCACGGTCATGACAAAGCTGGAACTACATCTTACAGTTTGCCGCGGTGCCCTCGTCGTCCAGCGAGTATTGGACATGCTCTGCTGGGATGTCAGGCGCGTTCTTGTGATCCTCAGCCGCCCTCAGGAGGCGTTGTGATACCTGCGGCTGCCCTCCGAGGAAGGCTCTCATCACGAAGGACCACTCCTGGCAAGGGCGACTGAGAGTGACCTCTCGTCGCCACCGTGCCCTCTCTGCGGCCTGGTCAGACCGCCCGTCTGCCCTGGCAGAGCGCCTCACGCTGCGATCTCTGTCGCGGGTGGAGTTCACTGCTGAGGACGTGCCGACGACGGCCCCCTTGGGACTCCTCGAGGCCGCTGGGCGCCCCCTCGGACCTCGCAACGAGAACCCGAACCTTTCCACTGGGGAAGGTTGAAGAAAAAACAGAAACAACGAAGGACCACTCCTGCCAGCCGTCCTCGAGCCCGTCGACTGTGGGCGGCCTCAGGCCGCCTCCTTGCCGCTCGACGCCTGCCCTCTACTGCTGCGGCCTGCCTGCCCAACTCCGCTCGGCTGCCGCCCGAACGCCCTTGGTTGCCCGGCTGCGCACGAGCCCCTTATGGCGGGCTTCGCCTCGCCTCCCTATGCCGCTGTACGGTCTGCCGTGGATCCGCCCGCGATGGCGCCGCTACGCGCGCGCTGGGGGGGCCAGCGCCGCTGGGGGGCGCCAGCTGGAGCTGGTCTCGGCCAGCTCCGCTGCCATGATGCTCTTCGTGCCAAGAAGGTTCTGGAGTGCGCGCGCAGTTACGCAGCTGCCATGCCACCTGATCCACAGGTTTCCTGCAATGCATCCGCCCTCGGCCATGCATGCCTCTACCCTCCTACATGCCACACATTCCCTCAACAATAAGGGGGAGGATTGTTTGGGAGGATGACCGGGAGGGAGGGAGGAGACGGACGGACATGATGATGGCAGCGATGATTTCAACGATTGCGATCACGATGATGATGATGCTGTTGCTGCTGATGCTGACGCCGATGCCAAGGACGATGCCGATGATGATGATGATGAGGAGGAGGAGGAGGAGGAGGAGGAGGAGGAGGAGCAGAGGAGGAGGAAGAGGATGCTGATGGTGATGATGTTGATGGTGATGGCGAAGCAGATGATGATGAGGGTGATAAATGGTGATGATGATAATGGCGATTGTGATGATGGTGGTGGTCATGATGATGATTGTGATGAGAATGGCGATGGCGATGCTGATAGTGGTGGTGATGATGATGATGATGATGGTGGTCACGATGCTGCTGCTGAAAATGCTGATAGCACGATGATGAGACAGCTGATGATGATGGTGGTGCTGATGAGGGTGGTGGTGACGATGATGATCATGATGGTGATGATAATGACGCTGATTATGGCGATGATGAAGATGATGATGATGATGATGATGATGATGCTGATGATGATGAAGATGGTGATGATGATGATGATGATGATGATGATGATGATGATGATGATGATGATGGTGATGATGATGATGATGATGATGATGATGATGATGGCGGTGGCGATGGCGATGCTGCTGCTGCTGATGATGATGGCGATCACGATGCTGCTGATGATGGTAGATATCAATGACGATGATAAAGCTGAGAAAATTGGTGATGAGGATGGTGGTGATGGTGATGGTGATGGTGTCGTTATTGATCAGGATGATGATGCTGCTGATGATGATGATGCTGCTGATGATGATGATGATGATGATGTGGTAGATGGCTGTGGGGATCAGTATGATGCAGCATTTCGTGATGATAGTAAGTATGATGGCGATGATGATCACTCTGGTGATGATAATGATGATGCTGCTGATGATGATCATGATGATGATGCTGGTGACGATGATGATGATGATGTTGATGATGATGATGATGACGATGATGATGATGATGATGATGATGATGAAGAAGACGATGATGATGATGCTGATGATGATGATGATGATTGTTTAACATGCACCGCAGCTGAGCGCCTCCAACCACCAGTCAGACAGCTGGGCGGCGTGGCGCGGAGGGCTCCCACTCCTGAGTCGCACAAGCGAGGCCAGGAGCAGCGAGCAGGCGACATGCCAGCACGTAGCCAAAGGCATCCACGAGCCGAGGGGGGACCAACCGCCCCCCCAGGGGCTCACGGGCACAAAGCGGCCATCGTGCTGGATAAAATAGTCACCCTGGGCCGCTTCGGGTGGCGACCAGACAAGAGCTTCGCCCAGGCGTCAGGTGTCCTGGGAAGGCCATCCTTGTTGACAGGAGGGCCCGTGCAACGACTCGCAAGATGGGCGAGCCGCAGCCCTGAAGTGTAACTCTTGCACGCTTGACAAAAGCAAATAAAAGAGTCATCACTGCAATCCACAACCCAGCACCTGTGGCCGAGCTGTACCAGACGAGTGACGTTCACGCGGCAATGGTGAGAACATACGCCAGGAGGCGGCTCTGCCACGGAGCGCCTCGCGCGCAGACACTGTGTGCACTGCCAGAGAGAGTCCACCCTCGCCCAACGATGGCCCGATCGGGCCGCAGCCGCAGGACGCGGAGGGACGATCAAAGGCACCCCCTTGAACTCCAGGCGAGGCCAGAGCGGGAGGATGTGAGCAGACAAGCGCGCCACCGCTTTGGCAATCTTGATATCACGGCCGACCATAGCTTGCAGCTCAGGCGAGGCCTCAGGATGCTGGAGGGCTCCTCGCTTCGCAGCAAGGTCGGCAGCATGGTTGCCCAAGCGGTGAAGCGCCTCCAGGGGAGGCAAATCAGCTTCGAAACTCTGGTGGGCCTTCACCTTGGTTAAGCTGCGGACCAAGGAGGCCTGAGAAAGTGCTTGCATGACCATCCCACTATAGACCAGCTTATAGCGGGTCTGATTGCAGAAACCAGGGGCATGATACTGCTTATGCACATTCAAGCAATCTGTATAGAAATCACTGGGCCCACCCGTCAAAAACACGGCGCCCCCGAGGGCGGAATATTCCCCTCCCTGGCTGGTTTGGGGCGTTGGGCTCCAGACGGGGGCCGAAACCGTGCAAAGAGGAAAAGTGGCTTCCTGATCTTCAAAATCAGAAATCCCCCACCCCGCTCTCGAGAGTTCTCGCACTGGATGCTTGAAACACGATCCGTCGAGGAAAAAATGGCCTTCGAATCCTCCACCCCGTCGTCATGGTGACAGGAGGAATTGGGAGAGGAGTAGTAGAAGGAGTCGGAGCTGGAGAAGGGAGATGAGGGAGGGAGGGAAGGAGGGAGGGAGTAGAAGGACGAGATGTGACGCCGCCTCGGCTCGAGCCTCAGCCCAATCTCGGCAGCCCGTGGCTTCTGGGACCGTGACCGTTGTCAGACAGCCATGGTTACCAGGGGGAGAAGGGACACAGCCCACCGCCACCCCACATCACCAACGCCTCGAACAGAGTCAGTATGGAGCTTTCTCTGGTTGCCATTCTTCGGTGTCCGGGCAGCTGTTCTTATGCCCCTGGGTCGTCAAGAAGCGGTCCGGGGAGAGCGTCGGCGTCGGAGTTTTGGGACAGGGCCTCGACAAGCCCGCCCCCTTGCCTAGACCGAAGTGGATATCTTTCCCTCGGCATCCGGCCAGACCAGGCACGTTTTGATATCCATGACCCGGGCACCGGGCTCCCAGGCCTGGGCTGGAGCTGTTGCGTCGCTGGTGCATCAGCGATGCTGCGCGATCTGGAGTCGATGTTGTCCCGCGGCGCCGCCGTCGCATTGCCATTGCCTTGCCTTTGCATCAGCAATGCATCGGCGAAGCATGCGATCTTGGGCCCCCGTTCGTCCTGGTCTCATGAGGAGGCCGCTCCCCAATGTTTTTGTTGGCCTCCCTCTCTCTCTCTCTCTCTCTCTCTCTCTTTCTCGAGGTCGCAATGAAGCTGCTGCTCTCCTTCGCCGTGGTTGCGTCGCTAGCCGCTGCAAGCCAGGCCTCTCTCTGCTGTGCGAGGGGCACTTGGGGCGCGGTAGCAGGACGAGCAGCAGAAGCAGGAGGAGCCAGGGAATGAGAATCACGGAGGAGAATGACGAGGCAACAAAACAGAAGTTAAAAAAAGAGGAGGGGGAAGATAAGGGAGGAGTACGAACAAGAGGAGGATGATCAGTGGGATCAGGAGTGGCATGATAGGAGCGCGGGAGGGCAAGATGCGAAAAGGAGGCGAAGCAGGGGAAGGAGCATGAAGAGAAAGGAGGGGAGGAGAGGATGGGGGAGTCCGGCGGAGGGTGGGGAGGCGGAGGGAATCAGTAGGAGGAGGAGGGCAGGGAGTCGGACTGCAGAGGAGGAGGAGGAGGAGGAGGAGGAAGAAGAAGAAGAGGACCAGAGTAAACCTTACGATGCTGTCAAACGACTTCCCGTCCCAAGTGCCCCTTCAATTCGGGACGCACTCCCCTCAAAGACAAGTGTGATGGAGTTCCACTTTTCAGGGGTTAGGTTTAGCATGTACATCTTTCTCTAGAGTGCAGGAGACAGAATGACTGACATTCATGATCTGTTGCCGGGTTTGGCTCAAGGCAAAAAGGCATCCGCTCATCCTGCTGCTGCCACAGTTGGTAGCGGAGCGGGGCTGGCCATGGCCGCAGCGGGCGGCGCGGCGCGCTGCTAGGCGACACTGGCAGCAGCGCGCGCGCGGCTCCATCGGCCGGGCTGGTCTCGCTCGTCGAGACGTGCAGTGTGGGATCCACGGCAGGTGCCGGCATGCCGGCAGACGAGACGTACGCGACGCGGACTATAGACGGCTCAGCAGGCCAAGGGGACGGACCAGCTGGGCGTGCAGAAGGTCAGCAGGCGGCGGCTTCGCCCTCTGGGGAGACACTACCAGCACAGCTCTCTGCCCAGGTGCAGGACTTGGTGCGCAAGTGCCTCAGCGAGCTAGTGCCAGACACTAGCAAGGGCGGCCGCGCGGCTGGCCAGGACACGGCGTCGCGGCCCAGTGGTGGCGAGACACGGCGTCCCGAGGACGTCGACCCGTGGGAGGAGAAGGACCCTTGGAGCCAAAGGCGCAACGGCGGAGAGTCGTGGCGCGACCAGAGCGACAAGGGCGGCTGGAACGACAGTCAGTGGCAGAGTTGTTCCAGGTGGCAGCAGGATAGTTGGCACTCCTCCGACGAATGGCAGATGGGATCCTGGTCGGGGCCGAACACTCGCGGGGACTTCACGGGTCCACCGGCATGGCCGGGCTGGACACACTACCGCCAGTGGAAGAAGGCCGTGCAGAGATGGAATCGGAGTACCGACGTTCCGCTCTGGCGACGATCAGAGAAGTTCTTGGCCCTATTCGACTGGGCCATGCAGTCCAAGTTCGACGACGTGCCCGAGAGTCAGCTGACCAACAACCAGTGGCTCGACACCCTCCTGAAGAGGATGGACCTCATGAGTGGAGAACGCGAGGGAGACGAGCTCCGGAGAGTGGGCCGTCGGGCGCTGTACGAAGGCACGCGCGACCACAAGGAGTCGCTGACGCAATACGTAGCCAGGCGTGACCTTCAGTTCCAAGAAGCCGAGGGCAACGACCTATGGCTCTCGGAGAAGCTCAAGGGTCTGATGCTAGAAGAAGGGGCAGGTCTCTCGGCACAGGGTCAACAAAATATGAGAACCCTGACCCAGGGCAGCCTGGACTACAAGCAGGTGGCCTGGGCGCTGCGCCAGATGGACTTCGGCGGCTCTGAGCGGCTGATGACTGGTAGGGCAGCATCTCATCCCGTCATGGCCGCAGAAGCCGGCCAAGCGGGAGAAGCCTCAGGCTCTCTCTTCCCTCCGCCTCCTCCGGTCCCGGGCACCGAGTCGTACTATGGTGACCAGCAGGACGAGGCAGAGGACTTCGAGGACGGCTCTGACGACGAAGACGATCCTGAGCTGAGCGAAGACGAGGTACTGGCCATCCTGGCGGAGATGGAGGACCTGGAGCTGGACGAAGACGAGGCCGAGGAAGTTTTCGTGCAGCTCGAGCAGAAGAAGAGGTCGTGGAAGGAGAACAAGGACCTGAAGCGAGCGGCCAAGAGGGACCGCGAGTACTTCAGGTCCACAGGCCGCGTGGCTGGAGGTGAAGGTCACGACGGCCGTCGAGGCGGACGTCCGGGCGCGCGGCCAGCCAAGGGCCGCGGCCGAGGGGGCGGTGATCGCCGGAGACCTGAGCGTCACCAGAAGATGACGCGCGAGCAGTTGATGAAGGTGACGCACTGCAAGAGGTGTCTCCAGAAGGGACACTGGTCCAGGGAATGCCCGAACCCGCCGGCCTCGGACGACAAGCGCAGGGCCTCGGACAAGAAGAAGAACCTGGCGGGCTACATGTTCACGGGCTGCACGACGGCCGGACCGTGCCTTCCAGTGGTGACCGGCGACCAGCTGGAGACATTGAAGGAGATTCAGGAAGAGGTGAATGCGGTGTTCCTGACGACGGCGGCCAACCAGGGCCTGGTCGACCCCGGCGCCGGCAGCGACATCGTGGGCCGCATCTCGCTCAACCGGGAGTCGCAGGAGCTGGCCCGTCTCGGGCTGCGGTACGTTCAGGTGCCCGAGTCCGTGAAGCCGTTGCGCAGTGCTCACGGGGTAGGCGGCCCGGCCAGAGTTATCGCCACGGTGTTGTTTCCTCTGTGCTTAGGCGGCGTGCTGGGCATCGTAGAGACAACGGTCCTAGACGAGGACGTGCCCCACATTCTGAGCGTGAATCTGCTAGACTTCCTGAAGTGTGTGGTCGATTTGCCCAGGAATATCTTGGCGTCAGGGACGCTGGAGGAAGACATTCCCATGACCAAGCTCAGCACAGGGCACCGTATGGCAGACATCATCGGACCAGTTGCCGGAAGAGGCAGGGCGCCTCGCGATGCAGTGAGCAAGTATCCTTTCTTGACGGCAGCATCGTTTTTGCTTGACGGGGACCGGGCTCCAGAGATGAGCTCGGACGGGACTGTGACTCAGTACATCATCCCTCTCCTCGTGATCCTCCTCCTTCTCATCAGGCGTCGAGGGTCTCGAAGGGCCCCAAGGCACAGCTTGATCAAGGTCAAGAAGGGCCTCCAGGTGGGCCCGACGGACAACACGATGGGAGTCAAGGGGGACGACGACAGGCTCGGCCCCCAGGAGGGCCACTTAGATAAGGAGCTGTCGGGCCTCGCGGGCTCGACCGGGAACATGATCAAGGGGGTCTACCAGCCAAGGGCCCAGTTAGCGTCCCAGAGACTCGTCAAGGGCTTAGGATCAACCGGGAGCGCTAAGGACGTGCACGGGACCACCAGCGACCACAACGGGACGGTCTCAGAGATTCGGAGCTGCCTGCATGCATCTCGTTACGTAGCGCTTTTCGGCTCGAGCTCAGAGATCAGCTTTCGAGATTTCCCGAGCAGCGGACTTCTTTCAGCATCCGACCTCAGTGAGGCAACCGATGGCGATCCGTGCGCTGTCGTTCGCAATGATGACCAGTGCCGTGCTGGCGGGCAAGAAGGAACCCGGTGCGAAGGCAGCCACCGAGGAGTTCCTGGCGAGGCGCGATGCGGCATTGGCCAGTGCAGAGGGCGAGACGAGCGACGACGTCAGCTCCATCGAGACAGTGCTGCCTGGACAGGGCAGCGGCCAGCCTGGGGTTTCGCCGTCGGACGACCCGATGATTCAGGAACCAGGGCCGCCTCCACCTCTGGGGGCTCAGCCGATGCCGTGGGCTGCAGCGGGAACCGCGGCACACGTGCCCCCAGCACCTCTCGGGCCTCCGCCTGCCGAGCCAGTCGGAGCACTCCACCAGCATGCAGCTGCCCGGGGGACAGCGGGCCAGACGATGCAGCCTCCTCCACCAGCGGGGCCGCCTCCCAATTGGCAGGCTACGCTGAGCCAGCAGGCCGGACTGCTGATGAGTCAGCAGGCAGTGCTTACGGGCCCGGCGGCCACCAAGCCTCCGCCGGTCCAGGACGCGACACCACCAGGAGCAGGGGCGGCAGCGGCAGCACCTGCGTCCAAGTCTCCTCCCGCCTGTCGCCACCCGCGCTGTGCCATTCGCTACTTTGGAAACCAGCACGGATCGGGATCACGGTGCACTCACTGTGGCGAGCGTCTGACATGGATCCCTCGCGCGGCTGGCGCTGGAGGTGCCGGGCAAGGCGGAGGACAGCAAACGGCCACGGAGGCCGCCCGCGCAGCCGCAGCAGCAGCACAGCAGGCAGTGGACATGATGCAGGACAGTCCCCAGTTTCGGGCAGGCGGAGCAGCATTGTCGACAGTGAACAGCCTGAGTGCCCTCCTCCAGGGCCTTCAGTGGCAGTTGGCGTCGGTCCCGGAGAGCGTGAGGGCGCTGGGACCGTGTCCAGGAGGTCCTCGACGCAGGATGGTGCAGGTGGTGACCACCCAGCAGAACGCACCGTCATCCCAGGTCGAGGAGGGGCTCCAGCAGATCTACTTGAACGTGGTGGAGATCCGCAGGCTCGTCGGGAGCTTCGAGGGCTTTGCCGAGACGCTGGACGGGATCCACAACGCTGTGGGCGGCATGGCCAACTCTGTCACGCACGTGGAGGCTGCCGTCTCCCAGCTCGGACAGATGATGGTCCAGATAGGCACTGCAGTGACGGGACTGGTCCACATAGCCAATGCTCAGCCACCAGACCAGGACATCGAGGGCCAATGGACATCAGGGACGGCTTCGGGCTCCGGTGGCCAGGACCCAGACGGAGCGCAGGGCGGTCCCGACTCTACGATGACTACCACGACCACCGAGGAGCACACGACCACAGCTCCAGCAGTCATGAGGACGACGTGGTGGAGTCTGGGACCCATCCCGGAGGAGACGGTGCCGAACTCATCCGAGAGTTGGGAGGTTCTCCCGAACGAGGCCGAGATCGGCCAGTGAGTCCAGTGAGCAGGGACGGTAGCACGAGGCGCAGCCCAGACCCCGAGGGCTTTTCTCTCGGAGCGCACGGGCGCAGCGGTACGAGGGTACCCGGCCCGAGCCTG